AGGCCCATTGCCCTGCTAAATTGTGATTTAAAAATTTTGACCAAACTCCTTAGTGTGCGACTTAACCAACTGACGGATAGCCTGATTGACTCGGACCAAATGGCTTTATGTCCCGAAGGTCCACTGAGGTTAATTTGCGTAGACTGTGTACGAATTTGCATGCATCCCATGATAACAGCAGAACCAGGGTGGTAGTGTCCCTTGATATAGAAAAGGCCTTCGATACAGTGGAATGAACATACCTGTGGGCCACACTGAACAAAATGGGATTTCCCTTGGAATTTACTCGCTGGATTAAACTACTCAAAGTCCTATGGCCTCTATCAAACTTGGGAATAAGCTGCCAGCTCCCTTCCCTATCTGCAGGGGAACTAGGCAGGGGTGTCCGTTGTCGCCCACTCTCTTCGCCCTTGCCATGGAACCCATAGCCGAAGCTCTGAGGACATCCCCCCATATTAAGGGTCTTAGAGTCGGCTGGTTGGAAGAGAGGGTGGCGCTGTACGCGGACGACCTGCTTTTGTTCCTCAATGACCCGGGACCCTCATTGCAGGGAGCCTTATATGTCCTCACTGCATTCTCGAGGGTATCAGGTCTCAGGGTCAACTGGCACATGTCAATACTGTTCCCCATTGATGCAGAGGCCAGGTCTGTACCCAGAACGGTCACTCAGCTCTCCTGGGTGGACTCGTTTAGGTACCTGGGGGTGGTAATATCCGGCTCGCCTCAGGATTTTATCAAACTTAAAGTACTCCCGATCCTAGGTGATATGAGGCAGAGACTGAAGGCGTGGGCGAACTTACCTTTGTCCCTCTTGGGGAAGATTAACCTAGTTAAAATGAAAATATTGCCCAAATTCACATACATCTTTCGTAACTCCCCAGTATGGATAACTAAACCCTATTTTCATCAAATGAATCAAATCATCTCCTCCTTCCTGTGGGGGACTCAGCCCCTGAGATATAAACTCACAACCCTCATGCACCCCACTACCCAGGGAGGCTTAGCACTCCCGGACTTTCATAAATACTTCCTGGCTACCCAACTGGTCACAGCCAACTGGTGGCTCTCAGGTGATGTAAACAACTCCTCGGTTATGTTGGAGGTGGCCATCTTGAATTCAGTGGAGGCACTGACTGGCCTATTATATAGAGCCCCCTACCCTCTCACCCCTTCTATGCGCACTATCAGGGTCTGGCACACGGGGTTGGCCTGGTGCTCTAGAGCTGCCCTAGACATCTCCCCAGAAACTCCTTTGTGGAATAACCCCCTACTGCCCCACTTCTACACAATTCCTGACCCCTCTTTCTGGGCAAAGCGTAACATTAAATTAATATCAGATATAGTAGAGGCCAACTCCCTGATGTCATTCACCGATCTAGCCACTCACCGCCCCATCCCACCCAAATTCGGTTTCCGTTACCTACAGCTCTCCCACGCCTTCGGCTCTCAGTTTCCGGGAGGTAGGATCAGCTTAGGCAAGTCCCCCCTGGAATCACTTGCAAGGACGGAGGGACTGGTGAAACCTGCCTTTTGTTTCTGCAGCACCCTGCAGACCCTGACTTCCTCCAACCTATCAGCATTACAATCCAAGTGGAGGATGGACATCCCCAGTCTGGATGAGGAGGACTGGGAGGAGATCTGGGATGAACCGTTTAAACAATTGGTCGCAATAAGGGATAGAATGGTACAATTTAAAATTCTTCATAGAGCCTATTTCAATTCTCACCGTCTACATAAAATGAATCCAGCCATCTCTCCATCCTGCTGGAGATGCACATGTCAGGAGGGGGACTTCTTCCATGTTTTTTGGGAATGTTCCCTCATTTCCTCCTACTGGGGCTCTATAGTGGACTTTATATCTGGGGTCACCTCTTTGCCACTGACACTGTCACCTAAGGTGTGTCTTCTGGGCCTGGTGGAGGACATAGCTCCGACCAGGTCTGAACACACGCTGATAGGTTTGACCCTGTTTTATGCCCGCGCTGCTATTGCCATGAACTGGTAGAAGCCGGCCCTGCCGGAATTGTCCTTCTGGAAGAAGCTAATAAATGATAATTTGCCTCGATATCAGGACACATATGCCCTCAGGGGATGCCCTAACAAATTTCATAAAGTTTGGGATAGCTGGCTGGAGTGCACGAACTCAGCGGTAGACTATGCAGCAAGAGTCTGAATGGGACATACTGCCCCTCTGGGGGACCTAGGATAAAACTGGAGCCAGTGTCATCCGATCAGGCCAGGAGAGGCCTTAGGCCACACTGAAAGAGACGTCTTTTTATAATAAATAGGATGTGACCGAGCCCCTAGCGACTAAGCAGGTGAGCAGCTAGTTTTGGCCAAGTGAGCTATGCACCTGTACGTTGGGAAGTTTCCCGAGAGGGGTAACGCCTTCTGTCCTGTAGTAACTGTTGTTATTGTTATTTTTCTATTTAGACCTTAAGTTTAGCTGTATAATTTAACATTGTATGCATAGCTATGCCTGGTGCCCTCTTTGGACACAAATAGCTTGCACTGTTGTGTTTCAATGTGTAATACAATAAATTATTTTCTCAAAAAAAAGAGTAGCGTCTCACATTTTTTGTTGCTGTTCTATAGTCTGGCCAATGACACATATGTAAATGCATTTTTTTTGATCTTTTCAAGATCAAATAATTTAATTAGTTTCCCCTTAAAGCAATCCTGTTACCACTCTCTGTACATAGCATGTTTACCATACCTTGTTAGTGTAGGCGCTTAGCAGTTACTGACATAACCTTTCGTCTTTTAATTTGTTCCCCCATTTTGATGGCTAAAACTTGAAGTGGTTGAATGAAGACATTTAAGGCCTTTGGGGTTAAAATGGGGTAGATAACCCCCTATTTAGTTGTGAACAGTTCAAAGGTTTGAATAAAAACCCTGAAACCTTTCTTCCATTAGAACAATGTCAATATCTCCTTGGCTCAAAAGATCTGCCCGAGTAGCATGCTGCTAACTCATGTGGTTAATTTGGACAATTTGAAGCCGGACAGAAAAAGACAGTGAAACTCTATCTTGTAGTGCCTGTACACTTTAGTGCTCTTGCCACTTCCTGTGAGCTCAAAAAAGCACAGAGACAATTATATTTGTGGTGTAAGCTACTAGCCCAGCAATCTACAATAATATTGCTAAAAAAGAAAAGGTAGATATGTTTGAAGTTCAGACAATGTGACAACCATGGCTCCCTCCATAGATACAATGGAGAAATGAATGAAGCCACCACAATAAAGGACTAGTAAGCTACAATACATTTTAACTTTTGTTTTGGGGTTTAGATAGGCTTTAAGCAAAAGTAGTAAATCACCTCATGAATACATTAGGTTTGGTTTGGTGAATAAACCTAGGTATTATTGTTCTTTCTGAAAAATGCTTTATGCATTCAATTTTCCCTTGACATATCTGTTAATATATTAATTAATAATCTTCAGTAATTGTATTCCTCACTGTTCTTGCTGTAACATAAAACTTCTTGGCTGTCGAAATTCTAGGTAAGAAATACTATCATTTACTATATTTTTTTAGTGTATATTTTTACAGAAAGAAAAACATAACAAAGCCTTCCAGCAATGTAGCAATCATATGAGATGCGGTCTTTAATCTTTCTAAGATATAGCATAACTTTTACTGCCTGCCTAATATTACCTGCCGCAAGGAGCAAAATTTATCTTTTCCTTGCATAGCTAAATCACATTCACTACATAATAAAACATATATGTTAAATAATGAATTACGACATCCTCACACTAGATTTGTATTTACCTTACTTATAACAGAAACATGATATTGCTCTACATTAAAACCTAAAAGTGATTTTAGCTCTTTCAACTGATGGAGGGAGGTATTGGGAAAAAAAGTAGAAATGTGTTCACAAAAGTTTCAGGAGAGTTTTTGGCAGAGATGTCTATACTTGCTCATTGAAGCTTCAGAATTTTTTATGAGATGGATGGTCCCGCTTTCAACAGCCTGGGGGGGCATACTTACAGCTTCCATTACAATCAACAACTCTGCAGGTTCCGGCAGTTCTAATGTGAATGTTAACTATAAAATCTTGGCCTCCATATTTTTATTCTGGCTTAACAGGATCTATCAAATGTCAACTGCATTTACCACTTCCATGGCTTGCAGAAACTTTGTTTAGTTTCAGGAGAGTTTTTGTCAGAGATGTCTATACTTGCTCATTGAAGCTTCAGAATTTTTTATGAGATGGATGGTCCCGCTTTCAACAGCCTGGGGGGGCATACTTACAGCTTCCATTACAATCAACAACTCTGCAGGTACCGGCAGTTCTAATGTGAATGTTAACTATGAAATATTTTTTTTGTGGCTTAATAGGATCTATCAAATGTCAACTGCATTTACCACTTCCATGCAGAAACTATTGAAATAACTGAGAACATAGCCTGCCCTGTGCATCTTTATAGTTTTACATTTTGTTCTATTAGATATAGACTTTTTTAGTTTACTTTGTTACTGGAGATGAAAAAAAACTCACATTTGCAGTTTTTACCAGTATTTTTTCTCTACACAGTTAAATGTATTTTAACCCTAGACACAAGGCATTCCCTATAGCAAGAAGGCCACAGACATGCAGTTCTCTTACTACACTGGCCCACAAGTCCTTCAGCATTGGCTACTTTGACAGAATGGTCTGACACTTAGCCATTGTTCCATACTCAGGAAGCAGGTTGCTTGTAATAATTACATCATTCCTGTGCTGCTAGAGGGCAATAATCAGTTGGAGTAATTCCTTATGCACCCAATCCCTGTGCAAATCTCTGTGCAATGAGACTGATCATTTTCTCCTTGTGTTATCTGCACATGTTGCTTTCACCGTGTGACTGACCCAAAGTTAACAATACTTTACCATATTAGCAAATGTCTTAGCAGATACTATTCACAACAAGACACCTGTCTATGGCTAGCTTTGATTTTCTTTGCCTTCCAACCCACACTTCTAAGGACAATCAGTAAATGCATGTGCTCACCGTGTTTGCTTGCTTTAGCTACTAGTGGTAAGAAGTCTTTTGATGTAAAGAAGCCTTGTCCTGTTGTAAGACCTTTAAAGATGTCATCAACCTTAGGTTCTGGCAGTCCTGGGAGAAAAATGGTAACATTTTCAGTTAGAGGTATTTAGTCTGCTGGCTTCCAGGAAAAGGAAATCATAAAAGAACTCAAGCATTTAGTATTTTTAACAAGATATGTGTTTTCACAAAAATAAAACTTCCTTTCCAGCCACTAGTTATCTAACTATACATGTTTTTCAGGCTCCATAGAAGCTCTCTGAATGGTACTAACTACAATGTGTATTTGCCTAGTGAAGCATAAATGTTAAATATTGCCAAGCATAGTGCTTGGTAGACATGTGCATGGCAAAAAAAAAAACATTTCAGAAGATATGAAAACTAAAAACATTTTCATATGTTTCGTCAAAGGAAACAATTTTTGTAATGCTTTTTCAGATTCAGAGGCAACCACACAACAAACTGCAAAACAAGCAGCGGCCATATTGGAGTGTATCTTGGTATACACTAAGATGGCATTGCCCGCATGTTCGAGTGCTGCCACCTTGGTGTATACCAAGATTTACTCCAAAATGAAGGTGCACATGTGCAGAACGAGCTAGCAGGATAGTCAGCATATGATGTCACCGTCATGTGACATCATGCGCTCTGCCTCCAAGGTGGCGGCAGGCATGCACAGAACGCGCCAGCAGCCAACATGGCCACCACACATTCTGGAGACAAATGTTTCTATGCTCAAATATAATTTTCGTATGTTTGGGCATACAATAAATTTGTTATTTCGGATTCAGATGAAGCGCTTAATCAACTGCGTTTCATTGATATGCAGGTTCGACCGAGAAGGAATACGAATGCACATGTCCAGTGCTTTGTAAAAATATGTTTTTGAATGCTAAGATTTTATGAGGATCATAGGGAATAAATACATGTCAACAACAAAATTAAATGTTGCAATACTAGAGACCTCTGGAGGAATTGAGCATATACATGTAATTTTTGTAACTACAGAAAAACAATGGTTACATTGATATGCTCTCCATTCTCTCCAGCATTCTCTTAAATTGTAACATTGTTTCCCACTACTAACATGTAACATGATACTCGGGTCCATCTAGTGGTCATAATGCAGCATTTTCCCAATCCATTCTGTTCTTTAATTATTAACTTATTAAAGAACATTTGAAAAGAAGAGAAAAACTATTTTATCTTCTGGTCAACCCATAAAGAACTGATATACCTGTAGTTTCTTGGACAAATAAGCTATGCAAACCTTTTAATAATTGATCATTAATTCTGTCTCTTCATGTTCTGTATCCAGTGCCAAACAGTCTAACATAGTCCAAAGTATGTGAAAAGTCTTGTCTATCCTTAAATATCATCATTGTTACCTGACATGCATATTTTGAAAAATATCCATTCCCACAGGCATCTGTGTTAACTTTTTTGCTCCCTCTTTTCTTTGGCAGAGGATCACCTTCTCAGGTGTACTAAATTTCCAACGCCATTGCAGAATGTGTCACTTTGTTTTATTTCCAGTATCATCAAACATGTTGTACTCCGTGAAAAAATACTGTGCATGGAATTTGGCCCTTCTGCAGCATATCTAATTCTAGTCATACACACATTAATTCTATTCATGGTAAAATAACTTGCATCAATCTGATCATTTTCATTGTAAGAAAAAAAATAACTAGCAAACAAAAAATATTATTAAGATGTATTGATTGCACCACACAATTGGCCTAAAAATCTATTTGTTTTTATCTTCATTGGGCAAAGGTGATCAACATGGTAAGAAAAACTATTGATATTTGCTAGATTCGATTAGATTATTGAAACAATGTATGGCCTGGATTAGGCTGAAATTAGTGATTTGTGCAGGTTTCCCTTTCCATTACTAACAAGCCTGAGCAATGCCTTTTTTTGTCCTAAGGGATCATGTACCCCAGCACTGATAATATGTCCATACCCATCTGCACCAACTTGTTGATATATTTGCCTAGAAAACGTTTACTGCTGCGTTTTATGTTTTTTTTTTTTCTGGCAGCAGCACCTCTGGGATCCCAAACTTACCTAACAGTGCTCTAATAGAATTACACTTTAAACATTTCAGAATTTTTGACAATTCAAAATTTGAAAGCATTGTCATTGAAAGAGTTAAAAAAAATACAAGTTGAAACTGTACAGCACGCTTCTTTACAGTGAATTATACATTTAAAGAAAATAATGGCAGAACCTTTCAGCACAATGATTTTAACGAGCTGCCTATTTTTTAAGAGCACAACTTAGCTCTATAGCTGAACCTCGCACCTCACTGAATCAATACAAAATCCACATTGACTGCATTGCTACCTCTACAGTCTACTTCTTTATTCAACAAGCAGAAGTAGGCATTAAAATAGGACATGTGGCTTTGTAAACCTTTTATAAACACAAGTTTGCAACTGAACAGTATTGATCTATACCTCAGTGGTAGATAAATGAGAAAATCAGCATCACATAAGGGGGGAAAAGAATAGAAAAAAAGAGAGAAAGCCAGCTCCTTGGGAAAAACAGAAATCTAAGAAATAATGTTTCAAAGACATTGCAGTATAAACTTGCTATACTGTTCCAGGTCCCTGTTCTTTTAGTCTATGAAATACATATGCAATACAATTCACAATTTAGATTTAAATTTCCATTTTAATGTGATCTTTTTTGCCAAGCATTGTTTAAGGAACCAAATTATTAACACTAAGTTAAATTATAACAGTAATATTTTAACAGCTAGATGCAACAATTCAATATCTGACATTCCCATGATAATTATCATTCTGAGATATATATATAATACACAAATTAGGAAAAGACATGCAGTGCACAATAAACAGCCAGGATGAAAATTTCTCCTACAACTGTCCCTCTCTCTTTATGAAACAACTTGTCACTATTGGCTTTGACAGCATGTGTCCACAGCTGGTCCTAACAACTATCTGGTTGTTCCTCTGGACAGTATCTTTATTGTCTAAATGGCCCAGAATCTCAAACTATGAAAATACAACATAGATGTTCCACATTTCAGTTACTGTTCTCTGTCTGAGCCCAATGCTTTTCAGTACATCCAGACTGCAGCATGTCAGGGGCATTTGTACAGCAAATAATCATGTGACAAGAGGCTACATTGTCAGCCAGTAGTTTGTGGTGAACTTTGCATGTTCGCCATTCACACAACTTATGGGAAAGTTTAGCCAGACACTAAAAGCAAACCCAGTATTGCTTGACCTGTGAGCTCTGGTCAGGTGAAAAATTGAACAGAAGAATAGTGCAAATGGTAGACAAAGGGCCAAGGAAATCTTCCTAAAGGTGCCCATACACTGCACGAATATCGTACCATTAAAACCTATCGACGATCGGAATATCGTACGATCATCGTGCGACACACCCAAATTGGCTCGATAGGGGTCGATCCGATAATCGTACGACCGTACTAATAATCGTACGATTTCGATCGACCGACGGAAGTAATCGTTTGATCCCGAGCATCATTCGTACCATGCCCTTTAAAAGGCCAAAAACCAAGTGCATTCTCTCCCACACTTGTTGAAAGCAAACGATGGCTGAGGATATGAGTAGCATGGCTATTGTGATGGTTGGTGTTGCTGTCATTCATGCTCGCCAGCAATGCAGGTCATCGCGTCGAAGACTGTGGACCAACAATTGGTTGCAGAAACGTGACATTTATTCGCACGTTGCTTTGCTGCAGGAATTAAGGGAAAACAACCCTGATGACTTCAGGAATTACCTCCGGATGTCAGATGCAGCATTCAACCACCTACTGGCTCCGGTGTCCCCCCACATCCAGAAGGTTGACACAGTGCGCCGTAAGGCTATTCCTCCTGACCAGCGGCTCATAGCAACACTGAGATTTCTCGCTACTGGTCGAAGCTTGGAGGACCTGAAGTTCTCTGCAGGAATCTCGGCGCAGGCACTTGGGTGCATCATCCCCCAAACGTGTGCAGCAATCATCAGAGTGTTGTGTGATGAGTATTTCAAGGTAAATGTTGTTATTGCACCTTAAACACAAATATGCTTTGAGACTGTTCCACAACACACATGTTTATTCTTTGCACATGCTAATAATACATTATCCATGCAGTTAACCCCAGCTCATGCAATTACAGAGTTGTGTATGATTTGTCCTGGGGCCACCCCTGTGTGTCCTGCTCCACAGATGTCCCAACCCCCCCAAACCTTTGTTCCTGCATCTGGGTGTTGGGATGCTGTTGGACTTGGCCATGGGCCATGCGATAGTGAGTCCCCGGATGCTCCCTGTGTGGCTGTTGCAAGTAGTGTTGCATGTAAAAAGGGGATACATGCTGCTGTGTGAATCTGGGTATTGGGTCATGCGTCTGTGTTCCCACATCATGCATGAGCACACGTGCACTATTGCGTGACCCCCTGTTAAGGTTATTAGGAGTAAGCAACCCATTTTCCCCATGATATCATCCCCGTGCCTGATATCAAGTACCATCTTTTGGGCTCTAACTGTTGTTGCTGATGATCCATGTTGCGCATCTTCAGTGCTGCAACCTGGAAGAACAGGTTACTCTGATCTGGCACTTTCTCCAGGGCCGCTGACGCCTTTGTGAGGAACTGCTCTATTGCCCGGTCAGTAGCTGGCCTCTTGCGTGGCCTCCTGGGAGGTAGTGGGGCAGTAGAGGGTCCTGGTAAACTCTCCTGTGTGCATATACTGTCCTGTGCAGAGAAAGTACACAGATTATGTCAGCATAACGCATGTTTTCTAAAGTGTCACATATCTAATGACATTTCACTCTCAGTTCCCCACAGATGCAGCTGAATGGCAGCAGATTGGCAAACAATTCAACGATCTGTGGAATTTCCCCAACTGCAGAGGTGCTATCGATGGGAAACACGTCAGCATCGCACATCCTGCCAACTCAGGTTCATTGTACTTCAATTACAAAGGGTACTTTAGCATTATCCTACTGGCAGTGGTTAATGCTACATATGAATTCCTGTATGTGGACATTGGCAGGAATGGAAGACACTCCGATGGTGGTGTGATGGAGCGG